GGCATCGCTGGGGACGTTGTGCTCGGCGGCATGATGGTATGGGGGGAAACGGAGGGCAAAGACTATGGGTCAATGGGCATGGTGCTTAGCAGCACAGCGTGTCTTCGATTTGTAGAAAGTGGGAAGCGTCCCCCGGAGGGCGATGGTGGGGGGAAGAAAGGACGAGAGTGCCAAACGGCGTCGAGAGAGATATTCGATGTTGAACAACCACGTAATCCTTCCCATTGATTCTCTCGGCTTCATTTTGCCTCATCCGCGCCTTGTTTGAAGCCATCTTCGTTTGTGCATATGATCCAGGTGTGCGGCAATGAATAAAATCGTATTCGCTTGTAAGGATCGCGCTGTCGTGATGATTGCTTAGGAATACTATCGGCACCCATGATTGAACGTCTCACCAGTGGTGCTTGAGCCGATGCGCGCATGTACTTACCACACCGCCGAGTTTCGTCCATTTCGTGCCGGCCGCAAGGCTCTATTCGATGAATTAATGACGGAGCCGTGGCCAACGGCTCGACTATCGCAACATAGTCAGTCTACGCGCAGGCGAAGAGGAAGCGTACATACATGCCGCGGGGATAGCCTGCAAGTCGTTGGCGGAGAACCGGTGGTAAGGCTAGGCGCTAGCTAGGTGAGACGAGGGACTTGTTAGCAGTCTCCACAGGAACACGCTGTGAGTAAATGGAAACAGGGGTCTGGGTGATCATTTCTGGGGAACTTGGATGGGCGATAAGGCAAAACAATGTTTGAGGAGGATACAAAGCGATACGACAACGGAACAAGCATGTGTCATGACTAGGGATATGAGGACAACAACCACAGAGACGACGCCGATGTCCGGTGGTGGACAGATCATTCAAGCGAATGAAGGGATATTGGTCTGCAAATCTGTCAGACAATCAGCTGAGTGCGCGTACAGGGAGAATCGAGATGAGGACATACACGCGATGATGCTTGCACCCATTGCATCTACCGTCGTGTTGATGGTCGCTTTCACTTCATTGATCTTGGCATCCATTTGATCCATCCTGGTGTCTATTTGGGTCTTCAATTCAGCCACCTCCGCCCTTATCTCAGTGATTTCACCCCTCATCTCAGTGATTTCACCCCTCATCTCAGCGATTTCACCCCTCATTACCTCCTGGGCGACTTTGACCGTGTGGAGTTCTGCGTGAAACGCACCGCTCAGTCCTGAAAAACCAAACAGAGCAACCAAGACGCACCGCTAGTGAGATCATTAAGTCCTTTACGGAGAATGATAACAGTCAGCTCAATGCAACGTCACGCGAAACTTGATTGACTCACTCTGCTCGTGACTATCTCGGACTCTCATCAGCACCCCCACCTCGGTACGAAGACGGCTTTCGTCTAAAGGCAGGCATCAGTTCCGAGCGTGGAAAGAAATCTGGATGACATACCACGCGAGCTAACAGAGCTTGCTGGCGATCTGTAGCGACCGTGGGCTCCCGGAGAACCCTGGGGACTTATAGACGCCATAGACGCGTCGCCGTCGGAGAAAACATCGTCAATGGACAGATCTGCTGTCGGTTGTATGATATCCTCGGTGGACCTGTAGCGCGGGGTTCTTTGAGCAAGACGGAGCAAGACATACTAGACGACGGAGCTCACATTCCCGCAGCGGGAAGATGATGTACCACCATCTGTGAGTGGCTGGAGGGGTCGACGTTGAAGGAAAGCATTCTTCTCCTTTTGTGGCAGAGGATTCCAAGTTTGACGCGACGAGGAAGGAGGTAGTGGGGGATGGCAGGGAGGACCGCGATCGGCATTGGGGATTTTGTACTCCGCGACATGGTATGAGGCAAATGGAGGGCAATGGGACAATAGGTATAGATCTCGGAAGCGCAAAGTATTGTCACTTTCTAGAATGGGGGGACTCGTTCCGCGGAGGGTGATGGTGGGGGAAGGAAAGGAAGAGAGTGCCAAACGGCGTCGATATATTTGCTGTTGAATAACCACGTGATCTTCTCCATTGTTCCTCTCGGCTTTTGCCTCATCCGCGCTTTGTTTCGAGTCATCTTCGTTCGAACGTGAGCCAAGTGTGACAAATGTGTAACGGTGTATACCATTGTGTTTTCTTGTGGGGTTCGTGCCACGATGGTGCTCTGCGGCGCCGTCGTCATCGTCGCTAACGGCGCCCGTGGCCTCCCATGCCGCAGGGGTGAACACACAGCCCAGTTCTCGGCCACCTCGACGTGGCCGCGAGGCTCCATTTGAAGAATGAATATTTGATAGCGATCCGGGGCCTCAGAAAAACAGCGCACCTATTGTCATGACCTTCAAATCGAAATGCGGCTCCCTAGTCTCCGCTTCCGGCCTTCCTATTCGTTTTCCGAGTGCAGCGTTCAATAAGCTATGGCGTAGGAGGAATCGGGGTCGAAGGTGTCGCGGAAGAGCGTTGGTTTCTCTGAACGTGCATGGTTCCTATATATCGGGGCTAGATATCAGTTCCAGAGTCAACGCGCAGGCTGGCAGAGGAGGCGTACATGCGAGTATGACATGAATGCCGGTTCGCATTGAACGTCAGACAAGGGACGTGGGGCGTAGGGCGGCCGTATTCGAGAGAGAGCTAGAACAAAATTGCCACTCACTGTACTGAAAAAAGCCTAACCCACTGCCAGCATGGTTTTTCCCGGGAGAAAACCCGGCCATACTGTCAGTGACTTTAAGTAACAGTCAGTGAAAAGCTGTTCGTAATGGTCTTCACAAGAACGATGAAGATGTCGATGTCATTGACAAACTGGCTTCCTATCGCCTTCTCCGAGTTTAGGACTCTATACAAAACCACGTCGCGTTACTCGGCGAGCCCTCGCAGCCCATTTGTCCTTAGGAGCGCGACCGTGTCCCTCACCAGCTTGGAAAACGCGCCGCTCTCCTTCTCTCCGACCTCACCAATATCCAGCCCCGCCTTCTTCGCACTCTCCCGCACACCGTCGTCAGCCCAGAGCTGACTGGCGATGTCCCGCTCTCTTCGCCAGTACGTGTCGGCGCGGGCGTTGAGTTCGGGGTGGCGTCGGACAGCGCCACTGGCGAAGCGCAGAAAGGAGAGTCGGGTCTGTGCCGAATCGACCGCGGCCCGGAGCTGGGAGTAGGTTGCAGGGGGAGGGGAGGGCCCTGGGATGAGAGGAAGAGAGGATATGATGGGGATGGTGTGCACGGGCGGAAGAAAATGGATAACGGCAGGTAGGGCGAGAAACGTGAGTTGGCGGAGCGACCACAACCAGGCGTGGTACTGTCGATCGATGGTGTCAGGTGAGGCGTCGGTTTTAGGCGGGGTAAGCGTACCATGATCGGGACGTCTTGTTCGTCCCGGGTGATGGTGACCGTCGCGGTGCACATCAACCACACCTCAGCACAGGCTGCACAGGCCAGTGCCCCAACCGACAGCTTGCGACGTTCTGTGTGTCCAGAGCCACGGATGGTGAGGAAGCCTACGACACATGCGCGCAGGGTGTAGGACAAAAGGGGCGCGGAGAGGGACGCGAGAAGGGCGAGGTAAAGCGTGGGGTTCGTGCCAGGAGCGTTTAGCGCAGAGTGCCCGAACCTACCGAGTGTTAAGTTATGTGGAACGCAGGCAGGTAAAACTCAAACGCACCTCACTAGCATGATGCGCGTCTCAAAGGATCCTAGCTTCGCGATGAGTTCGTCCATGCCAGGACCGGAATAGCGCGGATCCGTGGTCGCATGCCGCGCAACGGTTGCGCGTATAACGCTATCCGGGGCGGAAAGGGGGAGTTGGAGGTCGGAAAAGATGTTGGGCGGGTGGCATCTGAGGAGTGTGTAAAGTGTGTAGAACGTGTGGGCGAGGAGGAGGTGCGTCAAAGGCCGGCTTCTTGAGGTTTTATGTGCAGGAACGAGCAATGAACATATGGAAAGGAGGATTATGGGGGTCGCCACGCACAACGCTAGTGCGGCATCGAGGGAAGGGGAAAAGAGCATTGTCCATCTCGCACTTTCTCCACGTCGAGCGTTCCCCGTCCTATCGGGGTTTGCCGAACCTCATCGACATCGCCGGGTACAACTTCAACAACGTTCTCCTCCAGTCCTCTCTCCTTCTCTCCTTCCGCAATCCAAGAGACACGATATTCTTATCCTGATATAGTCGAGGTACACGTTAATGTTTATGTGCTTATGCAAACCTGCCCCGAATGTCTTCAGCTCGTGGACTCGAAGTACCCGGGCTCCCGCTCACCCTCATCCTCGCCGACCCGTTTACGCACCCCCTGATTGCGACTCTCTCTAATCCGGAACTCGCGTTCGGCGTATCAGGAATAGTAGCCGAGTGAGCAACTCGGTGCGTAGGGTTCAACCCAACTCTTCTTTTTCACGATTCTCATTCCCGTTCCGATGAAAACCCAATAGCATGTCGCCAAGAAACGCTCGATGGTATCGTGCTCCCTCCTGTCTTCTCAGGATGCGACAGACCGTGATGCACACTCAGGTCATAATGCAGGCTGCGCAATCGAGAGATGTTCAACGGCGGGGCCGGCCAAGACCTCGTGCGTGAAGCACGACACGCGTGATGCTGTTCAGCATTTTTACCAGAGGCCAAGACGACGTACCCACAAGCATCCAGAACGTGACAGCTAACGCGGATAACCCTGCCATGTCGGAGGAGATGGATACGATTCCTTGCCTGGGTATGTGCGACGGACGCGCACCGTGACATTCACACTGCAATGCCCGCATAAAATATGCTTTTCATGCTATATTCACGCTGATTTTGTGTGCCATCTCAGGCTTTCTTTCTGCACTTCTCGTTATTAGACACCGTCTTCTAGTTCTACCGTTACGTTGAGCTGGCCTGATCGCTCGATCTCGCCCGGTGTCAGAGCCTAGGTATCACTCGCCCACCGTATATTACATCTCCCGGACTTCGTACGTTTATTTCCAAGCCTGTCGAACCGTCGAAGTCTCTGGGATCGTTTTGCAAGAGGTATGGCATGAGCGTGAAGAACAATGAACAAAAGCTCCTACCTACCATCGGTTCAATGGTCTAGGGGTTATGATTTCTGTCTTACAAATGCTTCTTGCGCATTCCGAGCACAGACGGTCTCCGGTTCAACCCCGGATTGAACCATTTTTACCTCACGTTGACTAGCTACTATGTACCGCCTCCTGCTCCAGAGACTAGAGTCGGAAGTCCGAATCCGACGAAATTATGAATAAGTAAGACGCGAGACTCAAAGTCGAGAGTGCACGACACAGAGACAGGAGAGGATCGAGGATCAAAGAAGGGATGTGGGAGGGAGCCCGGAGGAGAGTCCCCATCATTATGTACTAAGGTGAGAAATTTAGGCTTGCCCAGGTTGCTTTCCGTCACCCATCATTATCGCTGCCGCCCATCGTTCTGGAACTTGGTGATCACACGCTCGTCTGCGAGGAGGAAGAAAAAATATAATAGGTTCACCTGAACCTTTGTTCTGGACGACTCGCCGCTCGGCGATCATGTGTCAGGCTGTTGGGTGCATCAGGGTGCAATGACTGCATCAAACACTGTTCCCATCCCCACAAACAGTACGAGCGTCTGTCCATCATGATCCTTGCCTCCCACCGTCATCTCGATCCTTCCCAGTGCCCACGGATCCCCCCCATCGGCGATGTCGTCTGGAAAGTTGAAACGTACGTCGACTCTTTCGTCTCGATTGTCTTCCGTTGAGCAGTGCGGTAGGTCCAATTCCCTTCAAGAAACCGGGTCCACGTCCTCCTAGGATCCCCCCAGCGCCAGAGCGGGTGCCCGTGGAAGTGTGGGAGGACATCTTTGATCTCGCCACGTATGTCCCCACCCTCATGGACCTGGAGCCCACAGACCCATTCGACCAGCCGTCCACTCTGCTCCCCGGAGACACTTGGGACCCCGCCCTCCTCCGCGCCTCCATGCGTCTTCGATACGCGCTCACCCGCGTGTGCAGGATCTGGAACGCGGCCGCGACACCCTTCTTGTACCGGTGTGTTGTTCTTTTCAGCTCGAAGAGTATCCAGTCGTTTCGGAGGACGCTCGTGGCCGAGCGCGTCGTAGGGAAGCCTGTATGGTCGAGGGCCACCCGTGCACGCCACCTCATCCTAACGCATTATGTGCCGGCCCCTCCCCTGGGCGAACGGCCCGATCCAGACTCATGTACTGCCGATTCAAGAAGTGCGCTGTATGCCGTCCAGAGCATCATTCGCGGACTCCCACACCTAGAAATCCTTTCCATCGCAGACCATTTTACCAACAGGTCGGGGCTCACCCCCCATCGTCGCGTGTTGGAGCAGTCGACACAGACACCCCCTGAGATTCCGAACGCATTCCCTACTCTTGCCGGCGCTCGATTCCCCACGCTGATCAAGCTGGACCTCTCACACCTCGGTTCGATGAGCGATCCAGATGTTTCTCTCATGGTCTCCGCTGCACCACGTCTACGGACGCTGATCTGCCCCCGGTCCAGTCTGGACTCTTGCACTCTCTCCTACCCTTCATTACGCCGTCTCAAATATATCCTACCCTGTGGTTCCAGAATTTGCCGCTGCAACCTCGGCACGGACCCGCTTCCCGAAGTCCAATGCACATTCTTCAACGTAGAACATTTTTGGAGCGCGTTTCCTCGACACTTCCTTTCCGTCCAAGGAGGACAGCTTACCACGGCGCACATCCGCCTTTCCCTGTCAAATTCACAGGCCCTCGTTGAAACGGCCATCGTCCAGCTCTTCGACATGCTCCCGAACCTCACCCGCCTCCACCTCACCCTCCCGCACTGGCGTCTCGAATTCCCGTACGCGAAGCTCCCGCCGCGGGTGACGCACCTCAGCCTGCGCATCCGCCCGGTGGAGACGCCGACATATTATTATTACGGACGGAAGCCCAGGTCGGACGAGGAGCGCGAGGACGAACAATGGGACGCGCTATTCGAAGGGCTCTTCGAGGCCGTGCACGGGATCGCGACGGCCCAGCTTGGGCACGCCCTGGAGGCCGTGCGCTTCCTCGACCCGGACGTGTGTGGCGCGATGCGCACCGGGCTGCATACGGACGATCTGAGGATGGAGATGGCAGAAGAGGTGTTCGGGGCGGGCACGCCGTTTCGATTCGAGGATTGTGAAGGAAGGGAGATGGTGCCGGCGCGCTCGACGGAGGAGGGCCTCGAGGGCGTGGTCGTCTTTGCGTGACGATGGGGGACATGCTGTGGTGATGTAAGAATAGATAATCGACGTCGATGTCGTTTCGAGGCCTTCCGAGCCGTGTGTACACATGTATCGTGTGGTAGTATCAGATATGCATACAGAAGCTGTGTTTTCACAGAGAATGTATGGAAGGATTCAACCCCAACTTCAAGCTTCGAACTTCAACTTTAGCATCGTCACTACAAAAGCTCAATCAGGACGATCTTCCGAACGCGTAACAGACCAGCGCAGGATTCCTCCACGTCGTCGCCAAAAATCCCTCTCCACCCTCTGAAGCGCAAGCACGCAACAGGACTTCCGATGCGGGACCGATACTCGAGCGCGTCGATGATCGCATTCCAATAATGTGTGTTCGCGGGGGGAGATCTTTGGACCACGGTCCTCGTTAGGTGGCCGCCGGGAACGGCCATGTCGAAAGAGAATCTATCACGAAAGCAGAACAGACTGAACTGTGCAAAAGCCACTGACCAGATTCACAGTGGAAGTTGAAAACATATTGTGCGAGCATTGATCCGAGGGTCAGAGCAAGACGCGACGAGGAACGAGGTTTTGAAGCGCCCTTCAATAATATGAATATAAGAGCTGAAGCGCTGAAGGGAGGACACGCGGCGTCGATGCTGGGGGTCGCAGACACGCCGTGTCAGCAAAAATCGACCGTATGACAGAATATGACTGTGAATGAAACAGGGCCGTACCAAGCAATTAACGAGCCCGTGTTGCCCGTTCAGCTGATTCGTGCCCCGGGAACTTGAACTTGAACTTAGTATATGTATTAGTCCCACCATCCGAACGGCGCAAAAGGACAACAGGTATGTACTTACGAATGGACAGATAGGTAGACCCAAAGTGCGGCCATCCTATAAAATCCCCTCATTACTGTGTACCTCGTATCGTTATGACGGCGGCTCGCGCGCG